CCCTGCCTAGAAGTGGGACTGGAAGGTTTGTGCCTGCTGTTCCTGCCCCTATGCCTATAAAAATCCTGCCTCGGCAGAGGAGGATATGAGCGGTGTTGCGGGTTGGGGCTTGAAATGTTGTTGGGTTGCCGGGATGTGCATACCCAACGACTTCATCGTCACCAGGGAGTCTGAGACTGTTCAGAGAAACAGACTCCAAGCTGCAAATAACCCTGCACTTTCTGATAGTAGGTCCTGCAGGGTTTGCTGCAGTCCCTCCTCATGATTACTCCTGAGGAAAGGGTGCGGGTGGCCAAGTCCAGTGAAGTCCGGAGGGAGGTTCGCGCCACTGCCTTCCCTTCATCAATGATAGCCAAGAACTCGGCTCTGGAGTCTGGTGGAATCAGCTCCTTAAAAACTTCAACATGGAGGCCTACAAGCTGAAGTTGTATCTGCTGAGGATAGCTTTCTGGTTAGCTATCCTCAGCAGCAAGCCCCGCATTGCATAGATTTTCCTGCCAAAAAGGTCCATCCTTTTCGACTCCTTGGATTTAGGGTCCGGCCCTTGCTGTCCCGTCTCTCTCTCATTCACTGCCGATACTATGAGGGAGCATGGTTGCGTGTGAGAGAACAGGTATTCGTATTCCCTGGTGGTAGGCGGGATTGAGGCAGGGGTCTGCCACGGAGTCTTAATATTGCTCTGGATAGTTATTAGTAGCAGAGCTACCCTGGACAGTCCCTCTGGCACAAGGATGTTGACCACTGAGTCTTGGGTAACCCCATTTACGGGCAATCCTTTGTAGAAGGTCCTGGTGGGCCCTGTGGTCAATTGGGAGAGGGCCCAAGGTTGAAGTTCCCACCACCTCTTCATCCGGGGACAAAGATGAGGAGGCCAGAGGTGGTATGGGGTCCCCCTGACCCTCTGGCTCGCTGACCTCCTGTTCAGTATCTGGGGCCTCTGTGGCGACTGTAGCCAAGGTGACAGTAGCCTGGCCTTGCAATTGGTCATGCCTTGGAGTCGCCTCAGTGGCGACCTGGGTTGGGTGTGGGGCTTGCGCCAAGGTCGCCTCAGAAGCACAGGGTGTAGGCCAGTCCTTGGCTGTTTGAGATGGTCAGTGCTCCGAGGCCACCAAACGGGAGCCCTTGGAAAAGGAGCCCTGGGCATGATGGTAAGCCCAAGGGCTCCAAAAAGGCCATTGCGCGAGAGGCTGCCTCTGGGGTTGCCATGCCATGGGTGCCTTTCTCCGTCACTTGTTGAAGTTATGCCTGCTGTGACGGGAACATACAAGTCACCATCTGCGTCTGAAGACACGGATCTCAACTGAGATGACCGTGGTGGCGCCGCATGCTATTGCGCCAGAGACCTGTGCTGAGTTGATGATGCAGGGGACCGCTGTTGAGATCCCTGGGCCGGGGACCGAAACTGGGGGTCTGGTGCGGTTGGTCCAGTGCCAGTCCTCTCTCGGAGCTGGGGATCACTGCTGCTCCATCGTCAGTGCTGGGGAGCGTCATGCCACTGGTACCTGGGAACCCTTCAGAGTCCAGTGCCAGAGAGGGTGACCACCGCATCATGGCTGGCTTGCCTCTAGATGGTGCCAGTCACAGCAGCACCAGGGGCTTGCTTCTGATCATGGGGGCCTGAAGAGCAGTCATCGCTATTAAGTCTCTGGTGGCTTCAAAAGGGTCTGGGGTGGAGGGTGACTAACTCCTCCACCTGGCACTACCCATCTCCGGAGTCGCTGTGTGCCAGACTCAGTCACCCCGTGGGAACCAAAGTCAATGGCATTGACGCTTGCTTCCTGAACACTGCGGACTCCTTCACGGAACACCCTGGTACTGCACGTACAGCTCCCTCTGTTTTCTGCACCAGGGAGAGCTCCCTGTCAGCTTTTGTGCCACTTGTATGGCACCATTGAATGCCAGCAGTGCTGGCTTGTCTGTGCATCCTGCGGTGCTGGAGAGTGCCGGAGCCAAAGGTCTCTTAGACTAGCATCCTTCCTCAGCAGTGTGCCCTGTACCCGTCAGGGCACTCCATGTGGATGCGCTCGGTGCGGGGTCCTGGTGGTCCGCAGCAGATTGGGAACGAAGGGCAGATTCTATGAGCAACTGCTTCAGTCAGAAATCTTACTCCTTTTTAGTTCTTGGGCGGAAAGCCCTGCAGGTCTTGCACCTTTCTGTGTGCTGCTTCAGACACGAGTCATGGAGGGGTTGCTCGTTGGCACAGGCTTGCTGCAGGTTCCGCAGGGTTTAAAGCCTTGGGCTCACAGCATGCCCCAGAGCCCAAGGGGGTTGGGAAACCCTGCTCCCAAATCTCACTATATGCAATATATACACTTGACTAATTACAACTAAACTAGGCTAAACTAACTATGTGAAAGAACATGCAGGGAAGCACTTGCTAAGCAAGTGACCATGGTTCCAATGACCGTCACTGGCAGTAAGAAAGGGGAGGGGCCAGGGTTGGCAGGGTCATATATTGAGCACCATGAAGGTGCCACTTCAGGGGGTTCCACAGCTGATCCAACGGGAGCTGCTAAGGGAAAATTTTCCGCTGACTGTGCACACGACTTGCACAGAGCTGATTGGAATTGACATGAACAAGCACTCAAAGGAAGAGGCTTCTCCCCACAATGTCATTTTTCAAAAAATTTCACAGCACACCAGTTTGGGCCTGATGGCACATGAGTGGGGAAACACTAACCTAGATTAATACACTGTTAGTGAAGCCTCAACACACCATTTGTATAGGGAAATCATTCCTCACTTATCTAGAAGCATTCTTTGAGGGTGTCAACAAGCATGTTGCCAAAGGTGATACAGTGGATATAGCATACTTAGATTTTCAGAATGCATTTGTTGAAGTAACGTAAACTGTCATGGGCTGAGAGGGAAGGGTCCCATAGGGAATGGACAGTGTTTGCAGAGGATACAAAAATCACTCAAGATTGTTCAGTTCAAAAGCGAGCATGAAAAGTTAGAGGGGAAATCTCACAAAACTGAGTGCCTGGGCAACTCAATGGCAGATGAAATGCAACATTGATAAGGGAAAGTAATGTACACTGGAAAAAAAATCATCCAACTATAAGTATATTATGAGTTGTGGGGAGGTGGGGCTAAAGTAGATTGTCAAGTCAGCAGGGCTAGTGCGCTAACAAGTTCAGATGAAGGTGCAGCAGTGGTCAAAACGGCTAATACTGCTAAGAATTATTAAGCAAATGCTAGAAAATCGCAAAATGCCCCTATAGACAGCCAGGGTGTGCCTATACCTTGAATTGTGTGTCCTGTTTTCATCACCCCGTCTCAAAAACAGTACAGGGGACTTGAAAAGGTTCAGAGCCTGCCAACAAAAATGGAGTGGCTTCCATATGAGGTGAGCCCAAAAACGATTTAGGGAAGGTCAGTTTAGAAAAGATGATTAAGGGCAGGATAGGGTAGAGGTCTAGAAAATCATGAATGGGATGGAAAAAAAACGTGAATAGAGAAGGGTTGTGTATCCTTTTGCACAATACAAAAACTGGGGGCATGTGGGAGTGGAGGGTCATCTGATGAAATTAACAGGCATCAGATTTAATATAAATGTGCAGAAATACTTTTTCACACAGTGCACAGTAAACTGTGGAACCCACTGCCAGGGGATGTTGTGATGACCAAACATATAACAGTTCAAAAAGAACTACATAAAATCGTGGAGGATAAGACCATCAATGGCCATTAGCTAAAATCATCAAGGATGTAATCCCATGCTCAGGGTTTCTCCCGTCCCCTGTACCAGATGGGCAAAACAAGGTTGGCTGTCTCTCCAAAAGGGTTATGGTGCAACTACTCCCCCCTGAAGCTCTGGGACTGGCCTCAGTGGGAGAGAGGTTACTGGCCTAGTGGGACCATTGGTCTGACCCAGCATGGCAGTTCTTACAGCCTTAAAACAGTTCCTTGAACTGTTAGAAAATCGTCCAGTCTTGATTTAAAAATTTGTCAGTGATAGAGACTCCACCTTGGTAAATTGTTCTAATGGTTAATTACCCTCACTGTCAAAAATGTATCATAGAATATCAGGGTTGGAAGGGACCTCAGGAGGTCATCTAGTCCAATCCCCTGCTCAAAGCAGGGCCAATCCCCAACTAAAGAAGGAGGGAGGCGCCTTGGGGGAAGAGGCAAGGCAGGTGTGGGGCCTCAGGGGAAGAGGCAGCAAGGAGTGGGGAGCTTGGTTGCTGGTGGGTGTGGAGCACCTGATAATTTTTCCCCGGGAGGTCTCCAGCCCCAGAGCACCCATGGAGTCGACGCCTATGGCTCCCTCCCAGGGGCCTAGCTGCCCCACAGGCTCTTGGTTGGCTGCCCCCCCACCACTCTCTTTTCCATAAAGTGCAGGGGAAGCCACCTGGGGCTTTTCACCTCCCCATTCCCTGCTGGGAGTGTGGGAAAGCCACCTGGGGCTCCCCCCTCCATCATTCCCCTCCCAGTTTGACACCAGGCCATTGATAACTACTCTCAGTACAATCTTTCACCCAGTTGTGCACCCACCTTATAGTAATTTCATCTAGACCAACAAATTCCTCCCTGCTGGTCAGAACTGAGTCTAACCCAGCTGTCCCACGGTTACTTCCCCCACCCTAAGAAAGCAGTTGTCCCCAACATGTTCCCAGCACTTATTGCACATTGGTTGCTGATGATAGGGTGGTCAAGTGCCTCGTTTTTGACCAGAAAGTCCAGTTAAAAATGGAACCTGACATTGTCCGGTCAGATCTACTGACCAGACACCCAAAGGCTAGTTACTGCAGGTAGGGAGGCACTGGGTCATCACCCTCACCAGTATAGAGCTATGTAGCCAGTATAGAAGGGATTTGGTTAGGAGGGTTCTTCCCAGACTGGGAAGGGCTCCAGACAGGTAGCCTAGCTCCTTGGTTAACCACTTCTCTTATTCCTATGGCTGGCTGACTTCGGATCACTGGCTGCCGGGGTTGTATTTGGCTCCTAAGAGGTCTGATCCCAAGACAAGCCAGGGACACTTATTCCATCAGACTCTATAAAAGCAGACTAAGATATTTATTGACATTTAAAATACTGTACAAAATGCAGCCCCATCTCTCTTGCCAGTGGCATCTCCCATGCTCACCGGATGCCCTGGTGAATGATGCTGCTCTTGGCACTGCCTGCCTTCTCCTTCTTCTTTACTGGATCCATCTCAAAGCAGCGCCAAAGCCGCAATGTTTCATCAGCAGCTGCAGATGCCACTATTGAGCCATCTGGGCTCATGGTCAGGTTCAGGACTCTGGCTGTGTGACCTGTGGAAGGAGGAGCTGCCTATCAGGGCTCTGCTCACATCCCTCACCAATACCAGTCCTTTTCAGCCACTCATGCCCAGTCACGTAAGTTCAGTCTGCTCTCCCCCATAAACAGACTCCATCCCACACAGCTGATGCTGAGGCGGACCTGGGCAGCTCTGGAAGGCTGAACAGAGGAACTCAAAGGAGACCTGACCCCTCAAAACCCTCTAGGGTGGAGCCTCTTCCCAGCAGGACATGCCTTGCTGCCATCGACCCATCTCACTAGCACACTGATGCTGCTCTCACAAAGACTGGAGAGTGACTTTACTTTCAGGATCTGTCTGGACGCAGCCAAGCCCTTTCCCACTGCCCTGGATCCCAGCCCTCAGCTGCTCCTGGACTGCACAGCAAAGGATGTAGACCTACCTTTCAACTCTGCAACCTTGGCCATGGTAGGATATTTCCACACCACCAGTTGATTATGCGCAAAGCCATGACCAGAAATGAACTCCTTGTAGTTTGACGACCAAAGGATGGAACATACCTATAGGGAGGCAGTTTGTTACACTGGCAGGTCACAGACCAGCAGCAAGAGGTCACTGACCAGGTGTAGAGTAGTTTGGGGACCAGCTCCTTACCTCCCAAAAGGGCCCGCAAAGAAGGGGCACAGACACTGCAGTAGTACCCAACATCCACCCCCATCCAGAGACAAGAAACCACCTCCACAGCATCCCCCATGTTCTCCTGGGGAGTATCCCAGGCCCTGGCCCTCAGGTTCCATCCCTTGGCAGCACTTATGTTGCTCACTGTGCCAAAGCGCAGTCTTGGACAGAGTCAGTGCTGAAGCTCACCTGGGAGTGGGCATCTACTGCGTTGAGGCAGGTGCCTGAACACACATTCCAGATCCTGATGTGTCTGTCGCTTGTCCCACCGCCTGTGGCCAGGACATTTGACTGCCATGGGCACCAGGCCACAGCCTATGAGAGAGGCACCAGTCATAAGACATGCAAGAACAGCTTGTTCCCCACTGCCCTTATAGGTCAGGCCAAGCCACAGCAATTCTGCCATCCATGCATGAGAGCAGCACTGGCAGGCAGATTCTTTGTATGTCCCAGTAGAAGCCCCTCTCCAACAGATGGAAACTCTGCCAGTGCACTGACAAAGGAAAGTAGAACCGAGCAGCTGCTGCATCACTCTGTGCCCTATGCACACCAAACAAGTCTCACACGAGCCACCCACTCACCTTGACAGCACCCTGGTGCTGAGTGAAGGTCTGCACAGGAGCAAAGTCACCACTGTCCCCTTGGGCACATGGCCAGACATTCACCAGGTTGTCATTGCCTCCACTGGCCAGGTAGCGGCCATCAGGTGACCACTTGAGCCCACACACCTCCTGTGTGTGGCCAGCAAGTGTGGCCACGTGGTGCTCAGCAACCCGGACATCATGATGATGGATGTGACCGGTCCTCGCCCCACTGCAGAGGGAAGTTTTGAGTCAGGGTGGTATTGTGCTTGTGAGCTATACACCACTGCTCCAAGGGGCTCCCACTACAGAGTGTCTGGACAGGGATTTCAGCAAGGGCCGCTATTCAATGATGCTGTAATCTTGGTGTCACCTGCTACTGGAGACAGCTGAACACAGCAGCAGGGACTGCATTGCAGAGACTCATACAGAGGTTATGGAGAATGGAGGGCCCTCCCACTGCCCCTACATTCAGGGGCTTAAATCCAGCCCCTTCTAACCAGACGTGTTGACATATTCAGGTCCCTCCCCCAAGCTGGGCCAGACACCAGGGAGGAGTTGTAGCAGCCCAAGGCAGAAATGGGCTGTTCACCAGGACCTCACTCACTTTCTATTGGCATCTGGGGAATCTGTGCCCTGGTTATGCTGAAGTGGGTCCATGCAGAACTGCACTGCTGGCTTTGTGAACAGATCACTGAGCACATGCAGAGTCAATTTGGTTTTTTCCATCTGTTCATCTAGAGCAGGGGGCTCAAAGCCTGTTTTGCCATGCCTTGGTCATGTCCTTACCTGGAAAGAATGTAGCTGTTCCAGCTCAATGACCCTACACGGGAAGAATGGCTGATCATATTTCGGAGCCGTTTCTGTTGCTGTATGTCCCACAGCTGCAAAGAGACATTAAGAGCAGTCATTTATCTTAATTGTGTAAGGAGATGAGAATATAGCCCTTGTCACATTGGTGCATACCTTGGCTGTCAAATCCTGGATCCCTTTGCTTGAAGGCTATGGCGTTTAAACCTCTCAGTACACTAGGCTATGGGGGAGCCATCCAAAGAATTTTATACCCAATGCCCATGAGACAGCTGGAAACTCTAGATATATATTAGGGACCTTCACAATTAATTATCAAGTGTTAACAATCCAGTGCCATCTTCACAAAACCCACTGGAAGGCATTGCCCAGAGAGTTTGAAGTTTGGACAATTGTGTTATTAAACAATAATATAATACCATTTATTTAAATATTTTGGATTGTTTTCTACATTTTCAAATACATTGATTTCAATTACAGCATAGAATTGAAGGTGTACAGTGCTCACTTCATATTTTTTATTACAAATATTTGCATGGTAAAAACCAGAAGAAATAGTACAGTAACTCCTTGCTTAACATTGTAGTTAAGTTACTGAAAAATGCTACTTCAATTCTTATGGGGAAATTGGATTCACTTTTTGCTTAATGTAAATGGGGGGGAAGGTTCCGGGGGGAAAATATATATATATAAAAAAAATAATCACACACACAGCAATGATTAATGTGAAGCTTGGTTGAGGTGGTGAAGTCAGAGGGTGGAGACAGTGGGATATTTCCTGGGGAATGCCTTACTGATAAATGAACTAGCACTCAGCTGAGCCCTCAAGGATTAACACGTTGTTAAATGTAGCCTCACACTCTACAAGGCAGCACAAATGGAGGGAGGGGAGACAGGATGGCAGAGAGACATGCGCATCGCCCCTTTAAGTACACTGACCCCACTCAGTACACTGCCTTTTGAAGTAGCTCAGCAAGTTGAGACAGCAGCTACTGCCAGAAGCTCCCTCTGTCCTGACCCCGTCACGTTCCACCCCGCTCTATGGAGATGGGGTAAGCAGGGGATACCCTGACATTAGCACCCCTCTTCCCCTCCCCCATCCTGCCCTGCACAGCAAGCAGGAGCCAGGAGCAACACATAGCAGTGGGGGGAGGGACAGCTGAACTGCCGGCAATTGCTAGCCTGCCGGGTGGCTGGTGCACAGGGAACTTAAGGGAGCGGGGAGCTGATGGGGGGCTGCTGGTCCACCCTGGTTCCAAGCCCCCACCAGCTACCTCCAACAGACTGCTCTTTCTGCAAGCAGTAGACAAAGTAGGGGGCTGCCAAATAACTTTATAAGAGAGCATTGTGCAACTTTAAATGAGCATGTTCTCTAATTGATCAGCAACGAAACGTTAACCAAGAGGATGTTCAGTGAGGAGTTACTGTATTTTTCAATTCACCTAATACAAGTACTGTAGTGCAATCTCTATCATAAAAGTTGAACTTACAAATGTAGAATGCTGTACAAAAAAAATAAAACAATGTAAAACTTTAGAAGCTACAAGCCCACTCAGTCCTACTTCAGCCAGTCAAGTTTAGTTACAATTTGCAGGAGATAATGCTGCCCGTTTCTTGTTTACGACGTCATCTGAAAGTGAGAACAGGCCTTTGCATGGCACTGTTGCAGCCAGCGTCACAAGGTATTTATGTGCCAGGTGTGCTAAACATTCATATGCCCCTTTGTGCTTCAACCACCATTCCAGAGGACATAAGTCCATGCTGATGACAGGTTCTGCTCAATAATAATCCAAAGCAGAGCGGACCGATGCATGTTCATTTGCATCATCTGAGTCAGATGCCAACAGAAGGTTGATTTTATTTTTTGGTGGTTTGGGTTCTGTAGATTCTGCATCTGAATGTTGCTCTTTTAAAACTTCTGAAAGCATGCTCCACACCTCATCCCTCTCAGATTTTGGATGGCACTTCAGATTCTTAAACCTTTAGTCGAGTGCTGTAGCTATTTCTAGAAATCTCACATTGGTACCTTCTTTGCATTTTCTCAAATCTGCTGTGCAAGTGTTCTTTAAATGAACATGTACTGGGTCAACATGAAATACATGGCAGAATGAGAGTAAAACAGAACAGGAAACATACAATTCTCCCTCAAAGAGTTCAGTCACAAATTTAATTAATGCTTTTTTTTTTTTTTTAACTGATCATCATCAGCATGGAAGCATGTCCTCTGGAATGGTGGCTGAAACATGAAGGGGCATATGAATATTTAGCATATTTGGCATGTAGATACTTTGCAGTGCTGGCTACAACAGTGCCATGTGAATGCCTGTTCTCACTTTCAGGTGACATTGTCAATAAGAAGCAGGCAGCATTATCTCCTGTAAATGTAAACAAACTTGTCTGTCTTAGTAATTGGCTGAACAAGAAGTAGGACAGAGTGGACTTGTAAGCGCTAAAGTTTTACATTGTTACATAACTGCACTCAAAAACAAAACAAAAAGATATAATTGTAAGTTGCACTTTCACGATAAAGGTTGCACAATGGTACTTGAATGAGGTGAATTGAAAAATACTATTTCTTGTGTTTATCATTTTTACAGTGCAAATATTCGTAATCAAAATATAAAGTGAGCACTGTACACTTTGTGTTCTGTGTTGTAATAGAATATATTTGAAAAGGTAGAAAAACATTCAAAATATGTAATAAATTTCAATTGGTGTCCTATTGTTTGACAGTGCAATTCATCGCGTGCGTTACCTGCCATTAATCGACAGCCCTACTTCTATTGTCTCCCCCTCGTCTCCTCCTTTCCAGGCTGAACAGTCCCAGTCTTTTTAATTTCTCCTCAGGCAGAAGCTGTTCCAGACCCCTCATCATTTTTGTTGCCCTTCTCTCTACTTTTTCAACTTCTGATACACCTTTTTTAAGATGGAGACACCAGAACTGTATGTAATATTTAAGGTATGGGCCTATCATGGATTGACGTAGTGGCATATTTTCTGTCTTATTATCTATCCCTTTTCCTAATGATGCCTAACACTTAGCCTTTTTGATTGCTGTTGCACATTGAGCAGATGTTTTCAGAGAATTATCCATGATATCTAGGAATCTATTATGATGCCAAGATCTTTCATGAGTGGTAACAGCTAATTTAGATCCCATCATTTTGTATGCATAGTTGGGATTATGTTTTCCAATGGGAATTACTTGAAATTCAGTGTTGATAAATGCAATCTGCCATTTTCTTGGTCACCCAGTTTTGTGAGATCCTTTTGTAACTTCGCAGTCTGCTTTGGACTTAACTATCCTAAGTAATTTAGAATCATCTGCAAGCTTTGCCACTTCACTCTCTCTCTGTTCCCAGATCATTTATGAATATGTTGAACAGCACAGATCCCAGTATAGATCTTTGGGGGACTCTGCTGTGTACCTCTCTCAACTGAGAGAGCTGACCACTTATTTCTACCCTTTGTTTCCTATCTTTTAAGGAGTTACTGATCCAAGAGAGGACCTTCCCTCTTATCTCATGACTCCTTACTTTGCTAAAGACCCCTTGGTGAGTGACTTGTCAAAGGTTTTTGAAAGTAAAAGTACACTATATCCACTGCATCACACCAGTCCACATGTTTGACCCACTCAAACAATTAATGGATTGGTGAGGCATGGTTTCCCTTTGCAAAAGCCATGTTGACCAGGTGTCGGATAATTCTGCTTTAGTTTCAACCAGTTTGCCTAGTACTGAAGTTAGGACTACTGGCCTGTAATTGCCAAGATCACCTCTGGAGACCTTTTTGAAAAAAAAAATCAGTATTACATTAGCTATCCTCCAGTCATCTATTACAGAAACTGATTTAAATGATGGTTACATATCAGTTGTTAGTTTTGCCATTTTGTATTTGAGTTCCTCCAGAACTCTTGGGCAAATAGCATCTGGTCCTGCTGACTTATTACTGTTTAATTTATCAGTTTGTTCCAAAACCTCTATTGAACCCACAATCTGGAACAGTTCCTCAGATTTGTCACCTAAAAAGAATGGCTCCGGTGTGAGAATCTCCCTCACATCCTCTGCAGTGAAGACTGATGCAAAGAATTCATTTAGCTTCTCTGGAATGGCCTCATCTTCCTTGAATGCTTTTAGCATCTCGATCATCCAGTGGCCCCACTGATTGCTTCAGAAGTAGAAACACTCAATTTTTGTTGTTAGTCTGTCTTTTGCTAGTTGCTCTTCAAATTCTACTGTGGCCAACATAATTGGTACTTTTACACTTGACTTGCCAAAGTTTCTTTGTGTTTTCCTCAGTGGGATTTGACTTCCAAATTTTAAAGGAAGTCTTTTGGTCTCTGCCTTTTACACTCTGTTTAGCCATGGTGGTGTTTTTTGGTCCTCTGACTTTTTTTTTTTAGTTTGGGGTACACATGTAGCAAGCTTCTATTATGGTGTTTTTAACGTTTCCATGCAGCTTGTGGGCATTTCACTCGTCACTGTTACTTTTAATTTCTGTTTAATTTTCATGAGGTTCTTTTTGGATTTTTAAATTCTATCGTTGGGAAGGGGAGGGGGGCTGGTATTTTCCCCTCTTCAAGGATGTTAAGTTTATTACATTACAGTTGCTATGACCAAGTGGTTCAGCTATATTCACCTTTTGGACCAGATCCTATGTACTACTTAGAACTAAATAAAGAATTGCTTCCCCCCTTGTGGGTTCCAGGACTAGTTGCTCAAAGAAGCAGTTGTTAATGGCATCAACAACGGTCCCGGGGCAGGAGCCTCTATTTAAAAGACTCTTCCCTCCCTGTACTGTGGGATTCCCCTCACCTGGACCTCAGCATTGCTAGTGCCGACAGCAAGGTAGTTTCCTTCTTTGATCCAGGACACTGATGAGATGTAGTCATCTGGCTGCTCCAACTGCAGCAGCTGGATGATCTCTCCAGAGGAGTAATTCCACAGATACACAGAGTTATCCAGAGCCACAGCCAGGAAGTTCTGGGAACTCCAGTCAATGAGGTTCAGATCTAAGATCAGAAGACACACCAGAGGTCACACATATGCCCGTTGCTCATTACAATACCCCAGGGAAGTCCTGCCTGCAGCCTGGCTCAGCACCATGGCAAGAGTCGTGTCCCCCCCGCCGCTTCTTCACCCCCAATGCTGATGGACCAGGAACTCCCACCTACACCAGATTTCCATAGTGCCACAGGTGTGCATGGCCCTCTACAGGTAGGGGATTGGCCTTGTAGCATGTTGGAATCCTAGCTAACAGGATCAGCGCACTGAAGCTTTTCATTCCAGTCCAGTTGCATGAAGCTCTGAATTCCCTTTCCTATAAGGTTAGATACAGACACTATCCAGCAAGCCACCCAGTGTCAGCCTGTGTGTTAGTGTGCCCTAAGAGTGCCAATGACACAGCAGTGACCAAGCTGAGAGAAGGCTCCATTGTTCCTCTAGGACCAAACTGCTGAGCCAAGGAAGGGAGCTGCCCTGTCTTGGCTGAGAACAGGCACTTTCTGCTATTTTTACCCCATCCACCTTGCTCCTAGGTGGAGCTACCATCTCACTAAAGCAGCTGATTTAGGGTAGGGGGATTGATGACTGAACCCAAGCCCCCTCATTCCTATAGGGAATTTTTGGCATCCCCTCTGTCAGAGAGGAACCCAGCCTCCACGGCACAATGAAGGAAACGGCAGCCATAAAAGCACACATTTCCCCACCTATCTTTGGCCTTCTGAATGAGGTGCAACAGAAAGTGGTAAAAGCCACCACAGTCCCAACAGGCTGAGGCATGAAACAAGCTGCCAGTGTGATTTCCCAAGGGGATAATCAGAGGCCTGAGAGTAGAAACAACTTGTCCTGAAGTGGAAGTGCAGCCAGACAGGAGCATTCAGAGTCAGGGTAATAAGGAGAGCAGAGTCAGTGCCAGCAAGAGGAGTATAGGGAAAAGAGGCACTTTCAGTTATCAGGAGATGGGGACCAGAGCCACCCACTCACAAAGGAAGCGCAGAAGTTAATTACAATTGAAAACGGCCGGTACTGAACCCTTTTTAAGCCTGACTTTTGAGTTCCTCTTCAAGAAGAGCAAGGGACTTGCCCCTTCTGCTCAACAGCATCCAAGTTTAAACATATAAGCCAGCAGATCTAGATGAGAGAGACTGAGACACTAATGGATTTGCTGAAGAACTCCTTTGGGAGTACACACAAGGTTCTGCAGTCACAGAACCAAGGGAGAAGCACCATCCAAACAAGAGCAATCCCAGGGTTCTGCAGTCACAGAACCAAGGGAGAGGCACCATCCAAACAAGAGCAATCCCAGCAGTAAGTGCCCGCTCAGGCTAATTTCGGTCCCTAGCAGAACAAGTCTTAGGACAGACTTCCAGAGGGGAATGGCCTGCAAGTTACGAGGAGTCTGAGGTCAGAGAAAAAAGAACCTGCTAGACAAAGCGAAGAACAGAATGGGTGAAAAGAACAAGGTGTGAACAAGACCAGGATCCTATGGAGAGACACTTTCAAAATCTTACTTAGAATTAGCTACAATGGGACACTCATATGGACTGACAAATGGACTGGAAGATAGCCAACCAGGAACATCAAGTGACAGCATTGAGTTGGAGATAAGAATTCTTGCAATATCTTTGATACTAAGTCTGATCTTGTTTAACCTCTTCATGCAGGGTGAAGAAGCAGCAGGTAGCACCCTTGTGCCCTCTATAAATGTCACAGCACAGGGGGGTAGCAAATACTAGTATGGACAGGAATACAAGGGCCCTGCACATAGCAGCAGAACCCACTTACAGTAGTCGTTACGGATCTCTGGCGCATCCAGGATCCGGTCTGGCATGGAGGGAATGTATCTGCCATTCTTCCTGCTGGACCCAGGTGTTGTTTTCTGGCTGTAGAGCACTTTCAGGTTATTCTGGTAACCTGTAAGCCAGAGAGACAGCAATGGTTACTCACTAGATAGTTTCTTCCAGCTCATCCTGGCAAACTTGTGGCTCACCTAGGCACAGAGAGTCTTCCACTGAAGGCAAAGACAAGCCTTAAAAGGGAGATGCACTTGCTTCAGGCCAGCAGAGCAAGCTGTGGTGTTATGACACCTGCCCACTAGGAGACTGAGCTGATGAGTCTCATCCAATGAAGTGAGCTGTAGCTCACGAAAGCTCATGCTCAAATAAATTGGTTAGTCTCTAAGGTGCCACAAGTACTCCTTTTCTTTTTGCGAATACAGACTAACACGGCTGCTACTCTGAAACTCCTTTTATGCAACCTATCGAGCCACCTTCAGATGGCAGCCACTTTACCTGCTGAAACCAGATTCAAATTGGTGGGCTTGGGAAATTTCACTTTTCCCCAATCCCCTGTTAATTAACAGTTCAACTGAAGCATGACTTAAACCAAGGATAGTATGGGGTGGGTGGGGGCTACTCACTATTCTACTGCAGCCTTTCCTTGAAGGAGCTTTGGGCCAAAAGCAAATTTTTAGGGAGGATTTGCTGTTTGCAGTGTCAATCACTGACTTGTGCAGCTACTGCTCAGCTTAGACTTGAGAGGTTTGCAGTGGCCAGGATGCCAGTAAGCCATTGATCACAAAGGGAAGCTATTAAGGAACTTATGGTGTTCCAGAGCTCAGTTGGGTACACAGCTACTTGCACACATCCCATTGCTTGGGGTGGGAGAGTACACAGGATACCAGTCAGGGTTCTGTTATGCACCCCTCCTTTGAGGAAAAAGGAGCTCTTCTTCCCTTCCAGCACAGAGGTGCTTTCAGATCACCCCCAAACCCTGCATACCTTCTGGGGCATTTTGAGGCTTCCCACTAAGCCGGAGGATCTTTGCTTCTTCCACATCAAACCCATTCAGATTCAGCGCCCAAGCCTTCTGTTGCTCCTGTAGATAAGATATACAGATCCTCTCAGGCAAACTTGAGTCTTCCTACCACATTCAGAGGGAATACGGGTAAAACAGGAATGTAGCTCAACAGCTCAGTGGCCCCATGGCCCCAGCTGTGCCATCAGCTTAAGGTAGTTGCCTCTGCTCCAGATGGTATGCTGCTTTGCTTGGAGAACCAGCTGCATGCAAGCCAGTTCTCCAGGCTGCCCCTAGTTCACTTGAAAAGCTATCCTCTGTTTGGCCAGTTTTGTAGTGTACCAGCTACCCCCAGATTGGCCCTTTTTTGCATCCCTTTCCCAGTGTGGAAATATGGCCACAAGGGACTGGCTTTGTACAACTGCTTCGTACAACTGCTTCATGACTTGCCTATCTGGAGAAGTCATTCCAGAATAATATAGGCCGTGACTCTACAGTGCCACAGCTACTGCTAAATAGCTTATTCCACAAGTTCTGGGGAATTTCCTTATGCAACCAAGTCCCCAAGCTTTGAGCCTGGAATAGCCAGCTCTGTGTGGGCAAATCTCATTAGCCTTCCAGAAGTTTTGCATTCAGACCTGCCAGATGCAGCGCAGGCTAGCCAAGGGTCCCAAGGCATTATATAATACAAAACAAAAAGCACACTCTGCCCTCACTCTCTGTGCCTAGGGGCCACAACCCAAGTCTCCTGCAATAACTTTGTGCAGCTCTACCTGTTCCAGCCACCACTTTTCATGCCTCACTCCATAAAGAGGAGTGCTGCAGATGCGAGCACCACACCAATTGCTCATCATGCAGCAGTGTGAATACGCCGAAGTTTGCTTCTCAGGAGAAGATTAGGAGAGACTGGCTGTTAGGAGAATGCGTTGCTCACCTTCTTGGTAGGTGTATCCTCAGAAGAATCATTCTCTTTGGTCAAGAGGAAGCTAGCAACCTCCATCTGCATGGCACTGCGGTTGGGAATGTAGCGGTCCCTGCCTGCCTTGGTCGGTGTGCTCTGGATTTTGGATCCTGATTTACCTGTGTTGTATACAGAAGAGAGCCATTCCATCTGCAGTTAGTTGAAGCAAACTGCCCAGCAAAGGCCAAGATAGACAATATTTGCCTCAAAGGCCCTCAGGCACTGCTGGCTGTCCACCATGTTTTCCAGGTGTTGGTGTTTTGCCAGCCTGGAGGCTCTAGTGCAGCCACACAAACAAATCCCAGGATCTTGACTGGATGGGAAGAGGCTGATGCAGTAGATAACCAGCTGCCTCCAATCCAATGATCATGTGCTGCTGTCCTCTCTGAACCTCAGCACATCTTAGAAGGGCCTGGGTCCCAGCTTAACTTCATTAAGAGACACTCTGAACTCCAAAGCAATGGCTTCAACAGCAGGCAACATCACTCATAGCTCCAGGAAGAACCTCAACTTGTTTCAAAGACTCGCCATTCAACCTATACATACCTCTCAGTCCTCTCCAGGTGCAGCCAAACAGAGATTCCTCTAGAGAGGGACCAAGGACAGACTGGTGGCACTGTCATGTAGAAGGTCACCAGTATCCACTGTGCAGAGCTCAGCAACACCAGAGCCCAGTCACTGTGACTGCAGCCACTTACAGACCCCAGAGCCAGGAGTCCTTACGTAGGAATTCAAAATGTTGGATCAGACAATAAGATCCACCTACCTCAGTGTCCTCTCTAACAGGGCCAGTTCAAGATGCAGCGGAGAAAGGTGTAACCACCCCCAAGTGGCAGATGTGCCTCATATAGGTCTTCTGTCCATCTCAAATAGAGATTGGCTTAAACTCTGACATGCAAAGTTTAAAATAGCCCTTCTAGAATTTGTCAATAATGTTAACTCTGAATATTCTTGATATCCATAAAAATGTCCATTCCTTTCTGAATTGCGTCAAGTCCTTGGCCTCTGATTTCCTGTGGCAGCGGGGGGGGGGGGCCCCACAGGGCCCAGAGGAACATTCAGGGGGACACAGCTGGGGCCCAGACCAGCACCCACAGAGGGTGGGGAAGGAGTGCCCCTTCGTTCTGCTCCTGGCCCCAGCCCCCTTACCCCGTACATCCCCCCCCCAGCTGTGGCCCGCTCCCAGCCCCAGATATTGGGGGGAGGGCACATACAGGGATAAGGGAGGGGGCATGAGGTAAACAGTTTGGGGACCACTGCATTAGAATATTCCTCTATTATTCACCATCCCATTCCTAACTATTTTTTTTTGAAACCACAGCTGCACACTTAGAGCTGCCTTTGTGTTGCCAAGCTCCCTTTCTTGGGTTGACAGTTAATTTAGAGCCCATCAGGTATACATGAGGAGTTTAAGTTTCTCCCTTCAATGTGCAACATAGGAATCCATTTGCCATCGTGCTGCCCATTCACACAACTTCTTCAGGTCTCTCGGAAGTTCTTCACAGTTCTCTCCAGTCCAGACTATCCTAGTAGCTGTGTCATCTGCATACCGTGCTACCTCACTGCTCATCCCCTTTCCAGATCAGTAGTAAACGTATCAAGCCACAAGGAGAACTGACTAACCCTACCCCGTTTCCCCTTTGCCAGTTTTCGATCCCTGACAGTACTCTATCAGCCCACGGTGACTTAGCTTCGCCTGTCAAAGGAGTGGCCTGAGCTAGGTCACTGGTGCCCTGCTTCCCGCACAACGGGCTGGCCGATGCAGGGCTAACTCTGCTCACCCACCTCCACGCACCCGGGGCACCGGCCCCAGCTCGGACTCACCGGGGGTTTTGGAGGGGGTTTTGCTGGTGCTGTGGGGCCGGTTGGCTGGTTTCATGGGGGAGAGGCCAGTGCTGCCGGCGCTGGCAGGGCTGGGCCCGGGGCCAGCAACAGAGACGTTGCTCTCCTTGGCCTTGCGCTGCCATCGCGCCAGCGGGGCGTTGGGGATCGGGGTGTCCAGCTTCAGCAGACCGTGCAAGTCGCTCTCGAACACAAACTGCGCCATGGCGGGGGAGAGCGGCCTGGGCGGGGAGAAAGAGGGCGACAGGTGAGTCAGAGACCGACCAGCCCCACACCCCGGCACCCCGCGGGCGGGCGGACACGCGCACGCACACACACACACACACGGGCGGGCGGGCACACACACACACGGGCGGGCGGGCACACACACACACACACACACGGGCGGGCGGGCACACACACACACACACGGGCGGGCACACACACACACACACGGGCGGACGGGACACACACACACACACACACACACACGGGCGGGCGGGCGCGCACACACACACACGGGCGGGCACACACACACACACACGGGCGGACGGGACACACACACACACACACACACACACGGGCGGACGGGCACACACACACACACACACACGGGCGGGCGGACACACACGGGCACACACACACACACACACACACACACGGGCGGGCACACACACACACACACACACACGGGCGGGCACACACACACACACACACACACGGGCGGGCGGGCGGGCACACACACACGGGCGGGCGGGCGGGCACACACACAGGGGGCACACACACACACACACACGGGCGGGCGCGCACACACACACACACACGGGCGGGCGCGCACACACACACACACACACACGGGCGGGCGCGCACACACACACACACACGGGCGGGCGGGCGGGCACACACACACACACACACGGGCGGGCGGGCGGGCACACACACACACACACGGGCGGGCGGGCGGGCACACACACACACACACGGGCGGGCGGGCGGGCGGGCACACACACACACGGGCGGGCGGGCACACACACACACACACGGGCGGACGGGACACACACACACACACACACACACACGGGCGGACGGGCACACACACACACACACACACACGGGGGCGGGCGCAACACACACGCGCACACACACACACACACACACACACACGGGCGGGCACACACACACACACACACACGGGCGGGCACACACACACACACACACACGGGCGGGCGGGCGGGCACACACACACGGGCGGGCGGGCGGGCACACACACACGGGCGGGCGCACACACACACACACACACGGGCGGGCGCGCACACACACACACACACGGGCGGGCGCGCACACACACACACACACACACGGGCGGGCGGGCACACACACACACACACGGGCGGGCGGGCACACACACACACACACGGGCGGGCGGGCGCGCACACACGCGCGCACACACACACACACACGGGCGGGCGGGCACACACACACACACACACACACGGGCGGGCGCGCACACACACACACACACACGCGGGCGGGCACACACACACACACACACGGGCGGGCGGGCACACACACACACACACACGGGCGGGCGGGCACACACACACACACACACGGGCGGGCGGGCACACACACACGGGCGGGCGCGCACACACACACACACACGGGCGGGCGCGCACACACACACACACACACGCGGCGCCCCCCCGTCGCTGTCGCCGCCCCGGGCAGACCAGAGACCGGCCCGCGGCGGGGCCGGGCGTTCGCCGCAGAGACCGGCGCGGGGCACTCCGGGGACGCACCACCGGGGACAGCGGGACGCGACGCCACGCCTCGCCTCGCCTCGCTCTCGTTCCCTCAGTCACTCTCCGTTCTCGGAGCTTCGCCCCCTCGCGCCGCTTAAACCTGGCTCCCCAAGCCCCCATTGGCCACTTCAAACCCAACTGCCGCCAGCACCATGGCGACACGACCCAACCCCCTGTCCCTATTGGCCCGCACGGACTCGGAGCGGGGCTCAGCCCTGAGACGACGCTAGCCTCGTCAGTCTCGTGAGACTTGGGCTTGACCCCTGACCCGAGCCGCGGTCTAGTGACCTCTGACCTGGGCTGCTGATTGGCCGGAAGCGCCTGCCTGGGGGCCGGTGTTGGCCGGCCGGGGGCCGGGAGCCTGGGGGGGCCGAGGCCGGGTCGCAGCCGGCGCCTCGTCCTGCCCCGCCCCCGGCGCCGCCCCGCCTGCCAGGGCCGAGTGGGAGCGGGGACGCGGCGCGGCGGGTTCGGCTCATTTTTGACTGCGAGGAAGAAGTCGAGGGACCCTCCTGAGCGCGCCGCTGGCCCGGAAGCGCCGGCTCCGCTCCCGGCGCCCCGGCAACCGGCTCCCGGCTCCCGGCCTACCGCCCTGGGCTCAGGCCCCCCGCCGCGCGGCCCCCCCCCGCCCCCCGCCGCGCGGCCCCTCCCCCGGCCCCCCGCCGCGCGGCCCCTCCCCCGGCCCCCCGCCGCGCGGCCCCCCCGGCCCCGCGCCGCGCGGCCCCCCCCGGCCCCCGCCGCGCGGCCCCCCGGCCCCCGCCGCGCGGCCCCCCGGCCCCCGCCGCGCGGCCCCCCCGGCCCCCGCCGGCGGCCCCCCGGCCCCCGCCGCGCGGCCCCCCCCCGGCCCCCCGCCGCGCCGCGCCGGTCGCACCTGGCCAGCGCTTTACCCCTGTGTCGCCGCCTGAGGAGGCGGGCAGGCGCCTCGGTGCCCAGCTCTTCCGGGGAGCTTGGAGAAAGAACCGCACCAGAGAGGGAAGTTAGGTGCCCATGGGAATTAGGCACGTTTGAAAACCCTGCCCATCAACAGGCTTAGGTGCCCAGATGGCTTTGAGAATCCGGGTGGGAGGCTTTATGTACACCACAAAAGTATAAATTAATTTCAAAATTGATTTAGCAAAACAGGTACAATCCACCAATGTAGACACAGTTAAACTGGTTTAACTGTTGCTTTTAAGCTTCGGAATGGTTTCTGTCCCCATGGATGGTGGCATACAAGCTCAAGGGAGACTCCAAAGAACATAAATGAGAAATCCTGGCACAATGGTCCCAGACAGCCCAAGGCAAGGTCGGAGAAACGGCCTTCAATAGCGCAGCAGCAGCAATTCATGTCAGTTTGCCTGAGAGAATGAGACCGCAGCCCTCAGGCACTAGCTTTGTACAAGTAATACATGGTAATAAAATAGAAAAGGACAGACAGCCCCATTTTCTTGTCTGAAAATCATTTCTGAAACCTTTGTTACCCAAGAATATTTATTTCTCCCTCTTGAGTGTGGGACACATGCAGAAGCAGTTAGGTAGCTGTGTTGGGAACAGTGGTGTGTCCGGCCATGCACGGTGCTCTCTGCAGTGTAGCTGGGTGACGTGGGGAGGTGGCAGCCTTCCCCTGCTATCTATACCTTTGGACCCACAGTTCACCTATCCCATCCATGAGGCTAGGTGACTGGCATGCCCTCAGAGCAAGACTCCCCTGCCACTAGCAGCTGATGCTGAAAACAGCAATCAGGACTGTGTTCTGCCTGCTCTGCTATCCATAAAGGTGCTATAGGATTTTAAACTGGTCCTGTTGGTTGTTACTGAGGCCTGGGGGCAATGACTGCACTGTGCGCCTAGTGATGATTTACGTGAGGGAGCTAGAGGGTAACTCATTACTAAGCCCATTACAAGGAGGGTTTCAGTTAGCTTAGTTAGAAGGGCAGCAGGGGGGAGCAGGAAGACCTGTAAGGCTGGGAGCTCCCCACCCCTTCAGTAAAGAACATAGGATTGGAAGGGACCAGCTGGGTCATCATGTCCAGTCCCATGCTCATCTGCTGTGTGCAACCCCTTCATATCATCCCATAAATTTATCAAGCTCCAGCTTAAAACCAATTACCTTTCTTGTCCCCACTGCTCCTGATGGGAGGCTGTTCCAGAGCCCCACTCCTCTGATGGTTAGAAAGCTTCTAATTTTGAGTCTAAAGTTACTGATGGCAAGTTTAGCCGCATTTGTTTTGATGCCAATGTTTTCCTTTAGCTCCAATAGCTTTTCTCCATCCCTGGTGTTTATCCCTCTGATAAATGTAGAGAGAGCAATTAGATCACCTGCCAGTCTTCATTTTGTTTCACTAAATAAGCCAAGCTCTTCCAGTCTCCTCTTGTACAGTAGGCTCTCCATTTCCCTGATCATCCTAGTAGCCCTTCTCTGCATCTGTTCCAGTTTGAATTCAAACTGCCCCAGCCCCCTGTGTAATCTTCAGCATGAAACAGGCTGCTTCCCTTCTGTTACCTGAAACACTGTGACAGGCAACAGGGACTGGAAGTTTAAGCTGTGGGGGTGTAACACCAACAGAACCCGGTCGTCAGCAGGCAGAATCGAACCTGGGACCTCTGGAGCTTAGTGCATGAGCCTCTACTGCATGAGCTCAAAGCCATATGACTGTTAGCTAAGACTATGCTATGTGAGCTATGTAGAGCAGACTCATTAATCTCTCTCTCGCTAAGTGGTCTCAGTGCCACTAGATGGGACAGAACACCACACCCAGGAGGTGTGTGGGTTACAGGGGCACCCTTCCTTGCTTCCAGCTCTGAGTGGGAAAATCCCTTCTCTGAGCCTCAGTTACCCCAGCTGGCTATGGGGGTGCAGTTTTTTGGTCTACTGTTAAGTCGTCAATATCATTGACACAAATTGTCTCCTTCCCTCTCCCCCTTCCAAAACTGAGGTAGGGAGGGGCTTTAGTAGGTACTGACCCTCTGCAGCATGGTCGGGGGAGTAAGCCACCTTCTTGGTCTCTCTTCACCACCCCAAGACTCCAAAGAGGCCCCTGCACAGGTTCAGCTCCAAAGTGGGGGAAGGGGTGCAGACTGGGTGGGCTGGGATGCACATTATTCTTCCACCCTCCCTCACCACAAACCGTAAGCAGAAGAGATAATATGGCCAGGGCCCTGTGGAGCCTCCCAGGGGTTCTAGGAGAAACTAGGACCACCAGGAGTCGCTGCTACCATGGCTCCAATGGAACTCACTGTCAGGGAATGGGGGGTAGGCACTGGCTGGGGCTGATGTACAGGGCCTGTGCACTGATAGCTCTGGCCTCCCACCACTCCTTGGGGATAAACCAGTTTTGGAGATTCTCCCTTGTGGTTCTTCCTGGAGGGGGCAACTCCCTTTCCTACTGATTTTTTTTTTTTTTTGAAGCAGAAAAGAATTTTATTTGCATACCACTTACAAAAAATCACCAAAAAGGAAAAAACAAAACTATGCAACAAAACAAAAGCAAATGCAAGGTATAACACAGCAGCCTTCAGCAGGGAGAAGTGTTCAGGCTAGCCTGGGCCCAGAGCGGGGGCGCTTCCTCGACACTCATGTTCTTCCACCCTCCTGAGTTACCTGGTGGCCTAGAGCGGGGGGGGGGGGGGCTTCCTCGACACTTGTGGTCTTCCACCCCCTCGAGTTACCTAGTGCCATGCCCAGTGTCACCGATTATTCCTCTCCTGAGAGTGCCCAACAAGATGGGCACGGCTGCGGGGTAGGCAGTTTGGGTGGGGGAGGGTGGAATGTACACCCACGTGTGATAGGACCCTTCCTAGGTGACGGTGATGATGGTATCCACAGCGCCAATGGCTGGGGCTGGCGTCTCTCACTCTTCCCCTCAATCAAAGGGTCAGACGGAGGGAACCATAGAATATCAGGATTGGAAGGGACCCCAGAAGGTCATCTAGTCCAACCCCCTGCTCGAAGCAGGACCAATTCCCAGTTAAATCATCCCAGCCAGGGCTTTGTCAAGCCTGACCTTAAAAACCTCTAAGGAAGGAGATTCTACCACCTCCCTAGGTAACGCATTCCAATGTTTCACCACCCTCCTAGTGAAATAGTTTTTCCTAATATCCAATCTAAACCTCCCCCACTGCAACTTGAGACCATTACTCCTCGTTCTGTCATCTGCTACCATTGAGAACAGTCTAGAGCCATCCTCTTTGGAACCCCCTTTCAGGTAGTTGAAAGCAGCTATCAAATCCCCCCTCATTCTTCTCTTCTGCAGACTAAACAATCCCAGCTCCCTCAGCCTCTCCTCATAAGTCATGTGTTCCAGACCCCTAATCATTTTTGTTGCCCTTCGCTGGACTCTCTCCAATTTATCCACATCCTTCTTGAAGTGTGGGGCCCAAAACTGGACACAGTACTCCAGATGAGGCCTCACCAATGTCGAATAGAGAGGGACGATCACGTCTCTCGATCTGCTCGCTATGCCCCTACTTATACATCCCAAAATGCCATTGGCCTTCTTGGCAACAAGGGCACACTGCTGACTCGTATCCAGCTTCTCGTCCACTGTCACCCCTAGGTCCTTTTCCGCAGAACTGCTGCCTAGCCATTTGGTCCCTAGTCTGTAGCGGTGCATTGGATTCTTCCGTCCTAAGTGCAGGACCCTGCACTTATCCTTATTGAACCTCATCAGATTTCTTTTGGCCCAATCCTCCAATTTGTCTAGGTCCTTCTGTATCCTATCCCTCCCCTCCAGCGTATCTACCACTCCTCCCAGTTTAGTATCATCCGCAAATTTGCTGAGAGTGCAATCTACACCATCCTCCAGATCATTTATGAAAATATTGAACAAAACCGGCCCCAGGACCGACCCCTGGGGCACTCCACTTGACACCGGCTGCCAACTAGACATGGAGCCATTGATCACTACCCGTTGAGCCCGACAATCTAGCCAGCTTTCTACCCACCTTATAGTGCATTCATCCAGCCCATACTTCCTTAACTTGCTGACAAGAATACTGTGGGAGACCGTGTCAAAAGCTTTGCTAAAGTCAAGAAACAATACATCCACTGCTTTCCCTTCATCCACAGAACCAGTAATCTCATCATAGAAGGCGATTAGATTAGTCAGGCATGACCTTCCCTTGGTGAATCCATGCTGGCTGTTCCTGATCACTTTCCTCTCATGCAAGTGCTTCAGGATTGATTCTTTGAGGACCTGCTCCATGATTTTTCCAGGGACTGAGGTGAGGCTGACTGGCCTGTAGTTCCCAGGATCCTCCTTCTTCCCTTTTTTAAAGATTGGCACTACATTAGCCTTTTACCAGTCATCCGGGACTTCCCCCATTCGCCACGAGTTTTCAAAGATAATGGCCAATGGCTCTGCAATCACAGCCGCCAATTCCTTCAGCACTCTCGGATGCAACTCGTCCGGCCCCATGGACTTGTGCATGTCCAGCTTTTCTAAATAGTCCCTAACCACCTCTATCTCCACAGAGGGCTGGCCATCTCTTCCCCATTTTGTGATGCCCAGCGCAGCAGTTTGGGAGCTGACCTTGTTAGTGAAGACAGAGGCAAAAAAAAGCATTGAGTACATTAGCTTTTTTCACATCCTCTGTCACTAGGGATCCGGATGGAATCACCAAGCAGAGAACCTCAGACAGCGCCCACCACTCCGCGAAGGCATCAAGGGAGTCGGTGGATGCCGCCCAGAGGAACTCCGCCCGGATACATGAATGTACTGAGGATCGGGAAACGGCCCTACAGTTGCAGGACGCTTCATTGGCCAACCGCCTCTCTCTGGTTTTATAGATGGCTGTTTTAGCTAGAGCTAGGAGGAGGTTAACCAGGAGATCCCACGACTTTGTGGGGCCACGGATGGGGAGTGCATAAATAAAAAGGTGAGGGGAAAAGTGCAGCCAAAAGCATAATAAAATATTTGTGAGGAGCCGGAAAAGGGGCTGCAGCCTGGCACACTCTGAATATACGTGCGCCAGGGTTCCCTCACGTTGCAAAAAGGGCAAGTATCCGGGATGGGGGTGAACCGCGTCAAAAACACTCCCGTGCTCACAGCTCCGTGAAGGAGCCGTCAATTAACGTCCCCGACGGGCCTCGGGATCAAGGTGGAATACAGGCTGGCCCACTGGGGCTGCTCACCCTCCAAAGGTGGCAGGAGGTCCCACCACTTTGTATCAGGGTGGGACACCAGGGTGAGGGCGTGAACGGTGCGAAGCGTGAGTGTGTATAGATGTTTCCTTGGCGCGGTTTGAAAGCTGACCGGCTGCAATTCGTGCAGCCAGCTCGCAGTGAAAGGGTGAGGGGTTTGTTGGGATCTACGGGCTAGGGGCCCAACTGAAAGGTCCGGTGAGCCTGGGGTAGAGGGTGGGCGGGGTGCACCCTCGCGTAGGGCTCGGTTGAGATAAGCCCAAGCAGCGAGCGTCAAAGTGGCCTTCACGTCCTG